GCACTTTGACCCATGACATAAAACGGAAGAAATCTTAGTTGCATATTCCTTCAGTCATGGTTCACCCCGCCGCGCCATCCCTAACTGGTCCCGAAATGCCCTGCACAATACCCGTAATTGTAATTCTTAGATGCAAGCAGACTTTTTAAATATAATTTAGTAAAATAATAAATCTATTCCCCCCTTCAACTTTAATTTCACCCTTTCAAAGAAGGAGTTTTGAAAACCCCTTTCTTAGTGTTACAACACATCGTAATATGAACTTATATTCAACATTTCACTATTCTAGCTTTATTGGTTTTGGCTCTGCTTTGATATGGCACACATTTTCTCTCATATAGAGTCATTTTTACTGAAAATAATCATGAAGAATTTTATCGGAAATTGAGGAATTTTGGTGCAAGCAGTTTCACGTTGCAAATTTTCGATTTTGAGAACACTCTGTTTCCTTGCTACTTCGGGCGAGCAATTCTGTACTCTTCAGCGGGTCTGTAGCATTCTGCATTGGTTCACGTGCTTTGGCTGGGCTGCTTTGAGTGATTGAGGCAGTGAGGCCGGCAGTTGTAAACGTAGCGCTGCGACGGCATGATTTTCCTGCTTAATGTCAGGCTAGTTCTATTCTCTTTTTAGGAGTCAGGGTCAGAGATCGTCGAGATCCCTCTCTTATATACCTGACGCCGCTACCTAGGCTCAGTTACAAACATTTCTGCCGTCATACTGCTACCTTCCGGGGTCGAAATACGGTTTTTCTCAAGTCATTCTCAGTTTCAAGGCAAAAATTCCCTGAGGAAGGTCGCAGTGTGACGGCCGTATCGTTGGAAACAGTCCCTAGAACGCGGCGTCTGCCGAACAGCCAAGTGTCTATTGACTTCGACCACGGAAGCATAGCACCCGGAATTTCTCGTTCAGATTATGGAAACCAGCAGTCGGCGTGCGTCTTTAAAACTTTTAATTTCTCCAAAATTTTGTTATGTAACATATAACGATATGCATATTTATGAATTCGCCTCTTCACGCTTGTCGTGATGAGCTAAAAAAATCTATAGGGTTCCACTTAAAAAGTCGAAGTTGGGTCAATATCTTTGCAATAAAAAAATGCAATAGAATAATATTATGCATGACTGTTTTTGCCCCTTGCATATAGTGGTTTTAGTGAAAACTGCATCTGAGTATCTGCAACGGTTCTGGTGAAAATTGAAGGGAACATCTTAGATGGGCCACACGGTATATTAATTATTTATTTTTAGCAAAATGCATTAAAAAAGCTGTTTGCGTGGTATGAGGGGGAAGTATGAAATGAAATAACATTTTAATCGTGTTATTCAATCTCGGTCACGTTTGCCATTCGTCTTAATCCTGCCCATAGCAAGATACAAAATCCAGACATTCCAAACACAAGAGTTCTCATGAAATACGCACGTTGTTCCTTTCAGAGTCATTTTACGTCACCAATTTCAAAGAATGTTTTATAAGAAACGCTACCGAGTAGTAGTTTTTTTTAACCTGACGCTAAAAGTCTGTCAACATTCACACCTCTGTGTCAAATTGGCGTTTTAAGAAGTGCTCACTTGTGTACGTGAGTAAAAACATCTAAACGACGTGAACTGTGATTGCAAAACGTGTTGACAATGTTGCCTTTGTTATTTTCACAGGATGAGATGAAGATCCCGAACTTTTATTACATAAGATATATAACAGCATTAAAAAATGTTAAGAAAATTATTTCCAGTATTTCGATTAATATTAGTACTTTCCTAAATTATTTAATTACTTACACGTAATTTGATTGTTTCAAAATGCCCACCTCCAGTATTGCAGTCCATGCAGTTAGTGAGTTAACGAATCTATTGTGAATATATATATTTATAATATATATTATATATATTATATTATATTGTATTATATAATATATAATATATAATATATATATAATATAATATAATATATAATATATATAATATAATATATAATATATATAATATAATATAATATAATATATAATATATATTATATATTATATATTATATATTATATATTATATATTATATATTATATATTATATATATATATACCGCACCGGGCGTTGGGCGTGGCCTTTTGCACTCGAGCGTCGCGTCGTCCGCTCCGTCGCCTTCCTTCCTCACACCCCTCTTCACCGCATTGTCTTGACGGGCAGCTCCAGCCCGCAGTGACTGGCTGTAATTCAGCTCGTTAGCGTAACCTGCCTCATGGCCTTGGGAGCAATGAAGTGATCACTGATACGCGACTAGGCTGGTAAGGTTTTTATCGGCTTGATTCGGAGCCGCTGTTCTTTTGCTGCTAGTTACATCAATCTTGTCGACAATGAAACTATTGAACCTCTATTTAGTTTACAGTACTCACGATTGGTAGTCAGTACTTCCTTTTGCTTGATTATTCGCCTCCAGTTATTTTCCCTGTCGGGGCACCGCCCAGCTGGGATCAATCCCATCTAGTCTCCTGATGTTTCCTGTGTGGTAGTTTAGTTCATGGAAGTGTAAGACTGAAAGGGAGAGGAGATGTCAAGCAGGAGGACGAGAGAAAGATCGCGCGCGGTCCGTAGCCAGTTTATAGCGGTATTATTTCGGTATTCCCTGGATATTGAATGGAGAAAACACACCAGAGCAACCGATCGATAGAATTCGATATAGCTGTCTAGCTAGTCTCAAAAATTCACCGCAGTTGGGGCTCAAATCCCAAAACCTTCTGATTCACGGTGCTGCAGTTGCAGCGCGAATGCTGCCACTGATTCATCGCTGCTGGTTTATACATTCGAAAGTGGCACTGTTTGGTACGCGTACGACCAAGTGCATTTTTGGAGTAATACACAGAACAAAGGAGAATCACGAATCGTCATGGTTGCGGGCATGAATGATTCCAAGAATGTGTTGGTAGCCTACTTGTAATTTTCAATGAATTCGTAGTTCAAGAGTTCTATACTTAACTAGTAAGCGAGTTTTAGATATGCGAGAGAAATTATTTTGAAATTAGTATACCGAAGAAAATCGGACAAGTTGCATACATTTTTAGTACTAATTACAAAGTACTACATTAGCATGTTTGCTTCGTGTTAGGGTAGAGTGATGTTTTATATATAACCCATTGTCCTCGTTGCACAAAGTGCTAATTTACCGTACCGAAAAAACAATTTTCCCAATTTATAAACCATAAACCGAAACCAACATAGGTTGTGAATTCCATGTAAGAGTGCTGAAAAATTGTTTATGCAATTCGTACGAAAATGTCTTTGGCATGCTCATTTCAAAATGTCAGCATTGCATTCGTAAACTTAAGAATACATTCTCTACTAGTCTTGTAATTGCTGCTTATTGGGCAATAATAAACTAACGAATAATTACAGATGTTAAGAATGCATCCTACTTTGAAATTGCTAAACATACCACAATGCCAACGGCTACACTATGCTACGAAACTATGAAACCTTGCAGAAACACGGGGAGAGAGGTAGACTATGTGCTTTATTCAGCGTTTATAAAAGGAAACCAGCCTGAAAAGATATATAGGAGTGACTCTCAAAATAATCTTACACTAGCCGTGCGATCCAAAATTACAAAATTACGGGAAGGAGGCAAAACAGCACATATTGGACATTTTTCTTTCGTCGATTGAACAGTAAAAAATAGAATGAGTTACCTGCAGTAGTTCTAGAGACTTTACCTCGACGTGTAGGTAAATTTGAAAATAAATGAACTATATATTATAAATAGTACTTGTTCTGTTTATTGGTATATGCTGTTAGATTATAGCATTGTAGTACTATTTTAATGTATTATTGGGGTATTATATATGTAATAGTATACCGGATGTCCCACTATGGGCCACTCTCATAATTTCTCCACGGTTCACTACATCAAATAGCAGTTTTCCATCAACAGCGCGGAAACATAGGGAAAATAATGACTTAAAGATATTGTTTACATTTTTTGTAGTTTACAAAAAAATTAATTATCTTTGATTTTTTAAATAGAATTATTTAAGAGCATTTTTCTCACCTACAATCATAAAAAGAGGAATGCAATGATGAATCATTTGTTAACCATTTAATAGTAATTTGAGTATAAAATTATACCTATGACATGTGATTTTAATTTAAACTGGCTATATTTCCTTTAGTAGTCCTTGCAACTACAGTCTCCTTTGTGGTAATTGGCCTTCGCGCGACCAAACCTGATATGAGGCGAAGGGTGGCAGTGAGGTATTCAAGCACAATTACAGCCATGCATGGTCTTGACACGAGGGGCACAGGAACAAATGTCAATATTGACGTTGAGAATGAAATATTTTTTCATTGATTCATCACAATTGAACTTGTATTCCACTGATTTCAGAGCATCGATCATTGAAAAGTGATAGCGCAAGGAAGATAATAAAAGTAATTTTCAAGCTGTAAGTGTTTGTAGCTTGATATCTAATAGCTCTAGGAACAAGTGAGCATTGTAAAAACAATTGAAGTTCAAGAGAAGGGAATCAATGTTTGGTTTTCTCTACAACACATCGAGAAAATTCACCAGATCAACGATGATAAATTATTATTTACTATTAGTCAATATATTATTTCAGCATATTACAAACGATTAGTATACAAATCAAACTTCGATATTCTCTGGAAATAAAATAACTTTTTTATCAAATCAATAAATAAATATTACAAAAAATAAGACCTGCATAACCGTAGAAAAACAGAAAGAAAATCTGTACACATGCACTATGTGCCCTCCATCTACAGCAATGCACATCCGCGGTGATTTTTTCCCTCGGATTTAAAGTGTTTCCAATGTCACTTAAAAATAGAGCATGTCTCATTTCACATGAGCTATTTGAATGTTCAAAAATTTAAAAGCGATGTTGTATTTACAGTATTTTATTGGTCTCGTATTATTTATCGACAGTCTTTTTACACTATGCACTCTTGAACCAAATTACAATCACGTCGTATATTGCTAATCAAAGTATGCGGCTAATCAATGTTGATTGTATTGAAATAAGAATGTCAATAAATTTTTAAGATCAATAAAATGTTCTGAAAAACAAATAAATTACACCATAAACATAGCAATAATATGTGCTGATGTATCATCGCTATATTAATGATTCACAACTCTTTAACGTTTCACCTAAGCCTGTATTGCTATTAAAAATTCTTCCTTTTTGTCAAAAGGTGTTTACAATAATTTCAAAAAAATTTGTGTCTGTAAAATATTCTGGAAAATCTGTCGTAAGAAAACCCTAACCGTCGTGTTGATTAGAATTTTTTTCTCTGTTGAAAATGGTACGAATGAATTTCGTAGTCGGCCACCTGTTCAGTGGACTCGGCTTCTAATTTCCCGGAATGAAACGCCAATACCAAGCTTCATTCGCATTCGTCATAAGTATGTTTTGGTTTCTCGTGGAGTGTCACCAGATAGGAGTCATCCGATTATTCCGTATAAACTCCTTGATTATTGTTTGTTTCTTAGGTGCGACTGCTAAATAATCACAATGGGTCCCAAGAAATATCAAATACTAACACTTGGATAAAGAAGTCAAGAAAGACGATAATATTTGTGATGCAATTTTATGGTAATATTCATGGGTGACTGGAACTGGCTTGGGAATTGTATTTCCGTAATTTATTATGTGAAATATTGTACCGAATTTTGTACATTTGTTTTTCGTCAGAATGTTTCCATCGGATTTCTCACAAAAATGAAGATTCCACTTCATTAAGGCATTGTTTGTGCACTAGACTTCTTGTTGCGGACAAAATCCCTACGATGACACCTCACGCGGGACGATAGAGTTCCAGAATCCTCCGCGAATGGAATTTGTGAAACCGGTCTCGAACTGCATTGGCTCGATGGTCTTCGGCGACGGCCGGATGTGAAAGTGAGCCAGGAGATTAACCAGAGTCGCCTTCATTTCCAGGATTGCTAGCCGCTGAGCTGTAAAAGAAAAGAAACATCAGGCTCTTTTCATTACCAATTAAAACATTATATTTGTTTAATTTGTGGGTTTTACAAAGAAGGGTAGCTTATTAGATAAGTTCGTTGGTACCAGATTCTATTCCTTCAAGAAACAGCTTTTAGATTATCAACTTTGAAATTAAAAAAATACAGTTCTACATATAATTAATTAAATATAATTGATGCATATAATTGATTTTGTTGCATAATATTTGTTTGATGAATAGGTTTTACAAAGGTGAGATGCTTATACATTAATCTTCTTAGTATCAGATTCCATTCATTCAAAAAAACTATCAACTTCGATTACTGGAAAACAGTACTAGAAAACTACAATAGCGAAAGTCGTAAGTTATTTTATTAATTATAATATATTGAGATTGAGCATGGCGCTTACCACGCCATCTTCTCCCAGTTGCAGAAAACATACGAGATATTCTGTAACCCGTTAAATTACAGAATATAGAAATGTGTTCTAGCCCCCCTATAACTCCAAGCAGTTTGTATAAAAGTTATTTAAAATATTGAGATTGAATTGAAAAATAAAACATTATTAGTATAATACAGGCTTGAACGTAAACAACGGAACTGCTAGCACTAATAGTAAAAATAAGAACCTGAACTAAAAAGGTAGTAGGTAGCATGTAAGCAGCGAAGCGTGTAGAATTGCATCACACATAACAAGTGAATGAACCTAAAGTTAGAACCTAAGGAATTCATTTGTACACAAAGCGTAGGTGAATGTCATTGAGTTGAAAAAAAAAATTCATCTGTATACGGCAGATGCGTTTAGAAGTTTGTGTCAAGTTCTGTTTAATGCCGGAGTAGGCATTTTGACGGAAATGATAAAAAAGTTCTGCATCTTGCTATTTTTAACGCGGGATTCGGATATGTAATTCTCTTGCACTTTTTCAAATTGTTGTGTATGGCGAACATTTGAATTCGCCACGCGCGCGCCGTGGGCAACGCGCTCTGCGTAAGTCGCAAGCGCGCGACACATTCCAACAACCCGAGGCAGTGGAGAGTCTCCATAATCACTGGCGCCTGCGATGTTTCGATTTATTTATTATGCCACCTCAAGGCCAAGTACGAAAAAGGTAAATGGAAGACAATCTCCTGTAGGGAGCTTCAACGTCACTCCTAGGGGGCGGATTTCAATGAAATTTTATTTCTTTTCACTTTAGAACAATGCCGTTTAATATAGAAATTCATTTTATCTTAAGACAAAAAGATATGACCCATTTTTATACAATATATTATTTCAACAACTTTGACTAATAAGTCATTTTTCATGCATTTTTCGCTAATTTAATATATTTTAATATCATTTTACGGGTACTTGCTTAAAACAATATTAACGAGGAGCATCAAATGTTCACCGCAGAACTCCTGAGTAGCCTATCCGATTTCTTCGCTCATATATTGTAATGTCAGACGGTGTGAATACTATGCAAATCTATGGTTCCTGTAAAATTTTCTTTTAAAGAATAGTCCGAACTCAAACTTTGCAAGCTGAGTTCACTTGAACAAAAGGAAAAAGCCTCCATTTTATCAGTACTATACCCAATAGCTAAAGTTATTCATTTGAAGTGTTTTCGATAAAATCTTTTACGTGATTTTTCTTTCTTTGTAGGGTATTTGTAAAGCAATTTTAGAGCGTTTTATTGATCATTTTTGGCAAAGTTTAAGGTCATCAAAATCCGCCCCCTAGTCACAATAGTGTTGAACGTTCGCTAACGTCCTTCATAAGGGTGCTGGTGGCCGTGGCCATGTGTTTACTACATGCTAGCCGCGCGAGTGTGTAGCAACAGTGTAACGAGACCTTGATGTGCCATAAATAAATCGAAGTATATAAAAAATGGGCCATCAGGCGCCGCAACGGGCTGACAAGTACTTGAAACAGTTCGTCATTAGTGAGCGTCTAGTAAAGTTTGAGTTGGTTAAACCGGCAGAAGACACGCCTTGAGGATTGTGCCCCGTTGGTTACTGGTGACTGTCAACGTTCATGGGCATCTTCTCGTTAACAGCTATTTGGAACTGGACTTCGTTTTTCTCTCCCGGCGTTCTCACGACTCTAGGCAAGATTTTGGTGCAAGTGTATAGTATAAGGAAACATTGTAGCGACGTTGACAATAAACCATTGTTACTGTTACGTCTGTGTGTGCCTTACTGGTTACATGTCACAAAACAATAACAACAACAAATGCATTTCTCCCACTAGACGTTATGATTTTGCCGTTTTTACTCGTATCTGTTGAAATATTCTCCTTCCCATTATTTTTAATGGACAAAAGAAGCTCGCGATATGTTTTTTCAGGGTTCTCCCGTTTCTCCAGCCTCTTTTTCCTCTATTTCTCCAGCATTATTCATTTCATCATTATCGCCCTCACCTCATTAGGTCGCCATTTATTATATGGTTTTGAAACACTCGTATATTGAGATTAGTAATTGTTGGGGCCGTAAACCTCACGAAGTAAATAAAATTATAAATTATTACGATTGGTAATTTTGATAGATCAGACTAGATAGACTGGATACAAGCTCGTATTACACATTTGTACTTATAGTTCTCGCCTGGAAACGGTAGCGAGCGGACGTGCGCCGAGCGCTCTCCTTCACGGGCGACTTC